TGAAAAAATAAGACAAAAATTTCACAAATATGATATGATATAAAGAAAGAAGAATTTCAGAAATATATTTTTTTCTCATACAAATAAAAGAAAAATTTCATAAGTCGAAAAATAGAGAGAGAATAAGAATTCATAAGAATTCTATTTTTCACATGATTTAATGACTAAAAAAATTGTTTTAATGCATCAAAGTTATAAAAAATATAAATTATAATAAATTATAATAAATAATAAATTATAATAATATATAATATATATAATATAAGATATAATATTAATTTAAATTCTAAATCTACTTGACTTATTAAATTTTCCTTCATCTTCATTGATCAAGTTTTATGAAATAAATATAAACATATAACTTACAGAAGCTAATCCTGGACATTCGTAAACAGTATAGTCCCCTTCTTCATTTTCTTCCTCGCTTTCTGCTTCAGATACTGAGCCTGGATCTCTGGTTGCAGAAATACGACTACACAAATCATTATCCAAACAATATACTCTAATTAAAATAAAATTTCTTAAAACCGTTTCGACACTTTCCGAAATTTAATAAATATTATATCTGTGGAATTCCTATTTACTTTAAAAAAATTTTAAAAATTGAAAAAATAAAATAAGAATTACTACATCAAAATATTATTTATATGACTTACTTTTCCATAGCGATAATTTGTTGCTTTTGGTGTTGGAAATGATACATTTGTGCAGACTGAGCGAGTCTTTGATCTCCCGAAGGTGATATTTCTTTATTCGGGCCAGTTATACCATAAGCTGGATATTCTATGTCAGCCGCCGCTTTAGCGCCTCGCTTTAGCCTGCAAAAATTTAATGAAATTAATTTATTTATTATTTATTTATTAAAATTAAAAAAATATTATTTGTTGTCATACCTGCACCATGTTAAAGCAATTAAAACGAAGATAAATATTGCCGCTGCGCTACAACCCGCAACAATAGCTGAAAAACAAATGCAAAAATGTGATTTTTCATAAATATAAAGTATATTGAATACTGAAACTTTGCAATTATCCAACAAAAATATTAATTCTTATTTTTGATATAGCTCGATAAGAATTTAAAATTTGTATGTGTAATTTTTTATCAAACATAGAAAGGAATACAGAATAAAAAAAAAAAAGATCTAGAGATTTCAAAAAAACATATTGATACTATTAATGCAAAAATAAATTTTTTATTTCATTTTTTATTTTATTACGAAAATAAAGAATATTTAATTAAAAAATGATTAGATATATTAATAATAAATTATTCTATTTTATATTTTAAATAATTTGAAGTTTGGTTTCTTAATTGATATTTAAAATTATCTTC